TAAGGAACTAGCTTAGTCAAATTCTTTGCCCCAACCACAAAGATGATGGAGAATGGGGTTGGGGTCGTGTTAGTAGCACCACTTGTACTTCAGTTAAGGTTTAAGTTTCCATTATCACTTAAAGTATTAAAAAAAAATCTCTAACAATTTCAAAAAAAAATAAGGACTCGTTATCTTCACTTAATTACCAAAAAAAAAAACCACGAAGATGATGCCTTGTTACACGAGGAGGTTGAATTTAATCTTAATGAGGGTCATAGACCCACTTTCAATGTTGATAGTCAGAATAGCACTCTTAATGGATTCACTTATATGAAGGTGGAAGTGGGGCCGTTTCTTATGAGAATCAAGAACTTATTACACCAGCATCTGAGATTGAAGCGCGTAGGAAGAATATATTAGCTTCAGTAAATACACAAAATAAAAAAATTCGTGTGTACTACGTGGGAGGTTTACCTATTATAAGAACAAAGTTCGTCCACTCGTAGGTAATGTTTCACATAATACTTTGAATGAGCAAATTTGCATAATTTTTGCAGTTCGACCAACGATCAAATTTATTTTTAACAAGTGGGGAATTGCTATTAAATAATTTTAATAGTAATTATTTAAAATTATTATTAAAATTAGTAATTTTAACGAGTGTGAAATGAGAGAGACAGTGGTAGGGGTGCGTTGGTGAGGTGCAGCTTTAAGAGCTTATTCAATTGATGCTATTCAATATTTATATTTTGAGGGGTTGCTGAATATGGTCATAATGCACCTATATGAACAACAGTTTGAACACAGGAAGAGCTAGCCGTTGGAGAACATTTCATGTGCCATGAACTCCCTCTTGTAATACATATGCTATGGTCCCGGTTAAAGACATTCAATTTCACCTTATTAAAATCCACTCAATTCTTCTCTCAAACTCTATTATAAAGGTGCGTTTGTTCTTAAAGAAATGTTTTTAATTTTCTACGGGTTCCACGTTTGACACACGGTTTCTATCGTTTTTTAACAAAGTTCCCATTTCTTTGTAAAAACATGAAAGATTAAGTTCTTAAGAGATGAAGGAACTTAATCTTTCATAACGTTTTTGTTGCTCACTATTCACTATGCATAATATAAATACATAATATTAGTATTATTAATATGATATGATATAATATAATATTATTATAACATAATATTATAAAATACAATATCATATAATATTGTATTTTATAATATTTTTCTACATTATATATTATATATTTATTTTATTAATGTAATTTATATTATATAGTATATATTGATTACATATTATATGTAGAATATAGTATTAATATACATATTTATACTATATTATATTATATATATTTCTTATATCTTGTATAATATTTATATTAGTATTTATTGTATTATATATAATATTTATATTCTTATGTTAAATATATAAAATACATCATATTATATATTATATTTATACTGTTGATATATATATATATATGTTATCCAACATAGTACTTAAGACTTTTTAATATTTCAACAGGTTATTAAACACATTACTCAAAATTTATTTAAATTTTTTAAAACAAAACATTCAACTTTTCAAAAAATATCTTTTCAGCTCTTTTCAATAGCATGTAATCTGGTTTTCAATAGATACTCAAATCTAACATCCCTAATGAAGATTCGTTCCCACTTTTATAACCACCCTTTTCTAGCGCGAACGGTGTGCTATGACAGGAACGGCTGGCTCATGTTGGGAACGAGTGCCTAAAATATCATATTGGTACAATGTAAGTACATCTTTGAACATGACATAAATTGGGCTTGGGAGTTAGCAATCTTTGCCATACTACATCTTATTCGATTCTTACCAAACAAAAAAAAAAAACATTTTTGCACTAATGTTTTAAAAAATCAATCGAGTTTAGAACATTGTTTGGAAAATTGCTCGATCTAACCGTTAGCCACCTGGTTAGATCAGAATTGGCCAGTGGCCAGTTCTGGTTTTGAGCGATTAGGGTGATCAATCGGTATTTTAAAAAAAAAATTCAAAAAATATATATAAATTCTTAAAAATAAAAAATTTGATTTGTAATGTATTTTTAAATATTCTTTACATTATGGTAAAGATTAAAATTTGTTTTGGTCTTTAATACTCACTTTTATATTTTCCTATCTTTTTTAGACAATTTTAAAAATAACCCTAAAATATAAAATTAAAATCCATTTTTTTCATTATTTTTCAACTTCATTTGAATGTGTTATATTTTAATCATTTTTATATGTTTTTTATATTTTAGTAGATTTTTTTTGGCATATTTTTTATGTTTTTTCAACATTTTTTTTACCACCCGGGGACTTGCCCGATTAGAACGGTTGAATCAGCCGATTTACCGGTTAGGCCGGTTGAACCACTTCCAAACCCATATCCGATTAACCGTTCCGGTTCGATTTTGCGAACACTAGTTTAGAATTACCCGATCAAAATTGAAATCGGTATGTAAAATGGAATCTGGAACCAGTTTGGTTTTCCTAAAGTCGCTCCATTCCATCAAAGAAACTAATGATTCTGTCCGAAAATCCAGTCGATTCGACAACAATAGCTTTTAAGCTTTTTGAGAGAGAAAACCCCAAATTGAGTTTTCCCTTGTCCCTCATTCTTCAACCATTTTATCTGATATTTTAGGCATTTCATTTCCATTTAACCGATCTATCAAATGATCGTGACAAACTATTGGATTGAAATGCAAATTGAAGAAATCATAGCAACAATTTGGAGGAGTCTTTTACTGTTTTCACTATTGGTGCCTATTCTCTCAGTTGTCATCCAATTTTTGTGAAATTCGAAGCATTTTTTTTTGTTTGTTTCTCAATTTTCTAGTTGTAAAACCAAAGAACCAAAGAACTGTAGAAATCATTCATCCGGAAACAAACTGAAAATCTTTTAGGCATTAAGCGTTTGAATTCAAATGATCTGTACAACCATGGTTTGAGATTTTGAATTCAATTTGATAAATAACTAGATTCAAATCATTTGAACCTCCAATGGGTTTACTTTTGTTACACGATCTTTTTATTTAAATCAATATGCAATGATAAAAAAAAAAAATCCGGAATGATTTGAATCATTCAAATCTGTGTTTTTTTTTCTTCTGAAATTTTCATCACTCTGCATTCTCGATCCAAATAAGTCCTGGAACCAGCAGAGATTGAATATTTCCACTGAAACAGTGGTTTGTAGCCAGACAAATTAGACAATACAAAGCTAAAATTTTTGGTTGTTTCTTGAGAGCGAGGAAGATGTTTCACAATCACTGCAAACACAAACCAGGAATGCATAAAATAATGCAGCCTCGGCGAAAGGGAACCTCCATACCAGCCTTTGGATTAGGTTCAAACCAGGGAGGGAGAGAGAGGGAGTTGTAATGGAAAGATTGCAAGGACTGACCTTCTACATTCTATTTCCTCATGGGAAACAACTAGAGAAATATTTAAAAATAACCAAACTGAATAACTTGAGAGAGAGACAGAGATGTAATAGGAAGATTGGAAGGAAGGAGCTTCTACATTCTATTTCCCCTGAGAAACCAGTGAAAACCTTAGAAAATAACAAAACTAGTGAATTGCTTGAGTGAAAAGATTCAAAACTGAGATAGGCCCCAGTATAAACTAGGTTGAGCACCAGAGGAAGAGAGCAATTAAATCTCCTTATCACATCAACAACTGCATGCATCCTATGAAAACAATGCAAAGAAAACAATGCTCTGTTGCAGTAAAATCAAGAAATCCAAAATGGAGTAAAGATTCATGAACAAAATGAAGAGCATAAACTAAATTTCAATCAACAAACACAGCACTCAAGAGATCCACGAAACTAAATTTCAATCAACAAACACAGCACTCAAGAGAACCATGCATACTAAAAAAACTGATCCACGGAATGCTCCGTACATACAAAACAGAATGAACAGAACCCTTCTTTTGGTATTCATTTGATGAAAATCGCAGTATAATAGAAGTGATACGTAACCTTGAGTTTTATGTTGGGTTGTTTATAACGGAAAATTCTGTCAGCATAACATGCAGTCACAGAAGGTATACTGGATACCTAGATTCATGTGCAATATTGATTTAATTCTAAGATTGAAAGATCGTAGAAACATATGAGTCGGGCACGAGTATCTTACACAATTTACAGAATTTTACGAATCTCAAATGTTTAGCAAACCACCCTAGAGTTATAGATAATCTTGATAAATACTAAATATTCAACAGACCTCAGTATCTCCCTAGTGGCATCAATTGGTTCAGAAGCATAAGATTTCTATCGACCTTTAAGATTTACATAATCACTAAATCCCTCAGAATGATGATCAAATAATCCAAGTCAATAGGGTAGATAACAACAATTTCAATATATAACCCTAATTCCCATCAGGAGTCACAAACTCTAATGCTGCAAATCTATTTCAAGAGCTTTGTGTTCACATCTGAGATTCAAGCTTTGTAGCTCACATGGGTTCTCTCTCTAAATTTATGTATTGGGTTTCCCACATAATTATAGGCTGAGAAAAAGTAAAGATGAAAAGATTTTAATTCAAAAAAAATGTTCTGAACGTTTCTTAATGGCTTTTGAAGTCCTCACATAAATTTAGTTTCCTTTTAATCCCAGACTTATCAAAATGAAGTTCTCTGAAATCTTTTTTTGCTACATTATATTCTCTGAAATCCTAAACTACAACCTCCAAGTATTGGCCTCGTAAGAAGCCCGTTTGTCAGTTAGGAAGGGTTAGCATGACTTTGAGGCATTACAACTAAACTGCAATTCTCTTTAAATGCCATTCTAGTCATGCATGACAGCTGATAGTTTCCTAATAGAATCAACCCAAGTGACTCTCTCATAGTTTAGAGTATCTGAATTTAAAGGACTGCACAGAAGCTAACACACCAATCACCATGCCATGCATCTGCAACCTGAATAGCCCAATCAGTGTACGTAGATGTATATTGCATTAGGCTTTCAATTGCATAAGAGCTAGGAACAAAAAATTATCTAAAGCAGTTATGCAGTACAAACTACATAATGCAAAAGATCCACTATTGTTCTCATACCTCACTTCATCTCAAGCTCAATAGTAGCTTAGCGTCTAGTTATAATATCATGAGTCAAAATTCATTCTACGAAAGAAACCTCAAGATGCAGTATAGTCTGTTATCTACGAGCAAATTTCATGTCTGTGGTATTTCACTGGAATTCACATGCCTGTCAACGCCAGCAAACAGATTTCGAATAATCCAAATACAATAAGCACTCCCCAAGATGCAACCACCTGTCAGCAGCCTGAGAAAATATTATTTTATTCACCAACTTGGGAAAAAGAAATGGTAGCCTGTCAATGTTCAGGAGGCAAATTATCATGCCTCCTAGAAAGAAAATCAATGTCAGCATAAATGTCATTCAAAATTACCCAATTTACCCAAGAATGATGAAAACAATAACCATATAGCTACCTAAGACAGAAGCCTTGTGCACTTAGTTACATGATTCCAGGTAAAACCCTCTAAGCAATTGCAAGCACTTGCACTGACTTGTTTTAAAGAGCTGTAGTTTTGAATATTATACCCTGTTTCAATTAGAGGAACCGAAATGGATTATATTTCAATTTAAAATCTTAACTTCAAAAGATTTCCTTTCACCAACAATCTTACAGGGAATGGAGATAAATACTAGATAAATACTAGAGGAACAATTTTGCAGCAGCATATTAGGCATTTACTTGAAATCAAAGCAAAATATCCATTATAAACACACTTCAACATAGAATAAAGTGGTAGGCCTTGAAAATCTTTAAATCAAACCAAAGCACTCTGTGAACCCAAAAACAGTTCAAGGCAAAGGTATACACCAGAAATCCAAAAAAATATGCTGAAGTACTCCACTGGAAACAGACGTTTCATAAACATAAAACAAAAACTCAATATGGAACTTAACTGAAAATCAAAGAAGAATATGCTACAAATTTTTAAAACAAGTGGAACCCAAAAAGCAAAAGAAATTATTTTGAATTTATCATATAGAAAATATTTTGAATTTATCATATAGATTAACTGTAGAAATAAGGCATGCCTCAATAACTCATGGGAAAAGGTTGTTCCAATGCTGAAAAACCTTCTAATCTTGACCTCGAGAGATACAGATATAAAATAAAAAAATAAAAAGATTTTCAAGTCCCAAAAATGCTACATCTTGTAAGACATTATTATGTACACTATCCATTCTCAAGATTTTCATGTGATTGTAGACATGCTCAATCTGTAACATTTTTTGAGATTTAAATTCCATAATTCGATATGAAGTAGTTTCCAGGTCATCATTGAAATTTGCATTACCAAATTACATATCATGACAAGCTTTGGAGGCCTTAATAGGATTGTTTAAGGTTGACACCTTATACAAACCACACCCATAAAGAAAAGTATAAATGAAAAACAAAAGAATGGTGCAACCTCTCAGCTCAAATAGGTGAGATTCAAAGCGTTTTAAACCAGAATGAAACTCGAATATATCTATGCAATATATGATCATAATGCCCTTTCTAAAATGCCCCATGTGGTTCACATGAACATTAAGCTACCGGCATTAATATCATTGATGAGCTTTGGTGTAATAAGAGAAAATGTTTAGTCATTACAAAGTTTAACTGAACTTTCTGTAGTGTCATCGAATGTAATAGATCCATAAAATAATAGGTAATTAAATATCTTCAACAACTATTGTCTCTATTGACATTACTTCATGTATTATGATTCTAAGGCTTAGATATTTTCAAAATGCTTTTTGGAATTTATTTGTAGAATTGTAGTCAATTAGTAATTCAATCAAACAATTCTTGAATGACAGGCTTAATGCTCAGTTAGAGAAAAGAAGGGAAATTGCGGACATTTAACAAATTTTGGGGTGTGCAGTCTAAAAATTTCCAGAAAATCTTAAGGCATTCCAGTATCCAGAGAATGTTGTATCAATCATAAAAAAGCAGAAAGAAATCCATCAAATCCCCGCAAACCAGTTCAAATCCCATGGATAGTTGGGGCTTTCCAATCTTAAAATATATTTTTTCCATCCCCAATGATTCTCATCATTGCATTTTGTTCTCTTTATTTATCAAATTTCATTAAACTCACACGAATTACATACTTCTTTTGTTACTCCAAATTTCAGTTATGAAAACTCCTTTGGTTTTGCCAATCGAAACCGTTGCCCATTTCTTCCAATTCTTAAAACACCAAAAAATTTGTTCAAACTAGAATCCAGGTTTTCGGTCTCAATGAAAAGCCGAGAATCATGAAATTTCTGCATCATTTAAGTATTTGAGTCTCAACAAAAAACCACAAACTACAAAAAGGTCAAAATAAAATAGAAAATTATACAATTCCCCAACTAACAAGGAAAAAAAGGATAAACAACCCTAAAAACCACATAAGACCAAGAAAAATGGGCGGCATACCTTCTTACAAACTAGAACTCAAACAATTGAGATCTTTGCCCCCACCGCCTCGAGCTGCTTCTTCGCATCCTCTGCTTCCTCCTTCGAAATCCCCTCTCTGAACTTCTTGGGTAACCCCTCAATAAGGTCCTTAGCCTCCTTCAAAGCCAAGTTCGTCAGAGCTCTAACCACTTTAATGGTGGCTATACGAACATTACTGGGAACCTCCTCAATAACTACATCGAACTCAGTCTTCTCTTCAACAACAGGAGCAGCTGAAGCATCAGCAGCTCCACCTGCAACACCCGGAACTGCAATAGCAGGTGCGAAAGAAGCCGCAGAGACACCGAGCTTGTCCTGTAACCAATCGACAAGGCCTCGAGCCTCTTCAAGAGTGAGGCCGGAAATCTCTTCACCCAATTTCTCTATCTTGGGGGAAGTAGCAGCGGTGGCCTTAACAATGGCAGGGAAACCATGGGTCCATCGAGTTGGGCGCATGGAAATTTGGGTTATTCTGAGGTTTGGAGATGTGGGTTTTTGGTTGAGAGAGGAGCTGAGGTGGAGGAGCGAGTTGGTGGAGAAAGTAGCGGCCATTTTCCTCTCTCTCTCTCTCTCTTTTCTCTTTCTCTCTCTACTGTTATGGAGAGAAATGCAGCGAGAAGAAACGAAGTGGGTTTTCTCTGAATTCTCAAGACTCAGTGAGGAGCGGGGTGAGAGAGGATAAGGGGTTAAAGATAAGAGGGAGAGGGGGGAAGATAAAAGGACATGGGTGAGGGTTGTGAAAAAATGCCAACTCAGTTTGAGCGTAATACAAAAGTAGCCTTGGAAACAAGTCGGGCCTGGGCTGGGCCTCCCCAGCCCTAGGCTCGCCTGGTGCTATCAGGGCGGAAGAGTCCCTAGTCCAATCTCAGCCCTAGCCTTATTTGGGGCAGCGCCTGGTGAGCGGACCAAATACGACAAAGATAAACAAAAAACAATATGGGCCGAAGGGGCCCTAGCCCTACTCAAGTCAGACCGAGCTCAAGAATGGGGTTGGGGTCATCGTGATAGCATTACTTGTGTTACAGCTAAAATCTAGATTTCTATTATCACTTAACGCGTTAAAAAACCACTAATGATTTAAAAAAATGGGTAGGGACTTAATCGCTGCTACTTAATTATCCAACAAAAAATAGTCACAGCAATCGGAGTTGGGCCAAATATACTAAAAATAAATATATTTCATACCTAGCCGTCCTTTCCTCATGCCACATTTTGTATCCCACGTGCTTGGTTTTTGGACTGGGCCGGGCTAACTAACCCATTCTTAGCTCTGACCTTACTTTAATTGATTGCTTTGGAAGGTGTACTATTGATCCACATGATATAATATTTTGATCATAAAGTTCGCCATTGTCTGATAGATGGCTTGGACAGTGATGGAGAAACAATGGTATATAGTTGGATTACAAACATGGTTTGATTGCTTCACTCTTCCTCCATCACCGTCCAACCTATTGATTGAATAGAGATAGCATTATCTTTTCATGATCTATTGTAGAACTAAAACACTTGGGCATTTGTGAGCAAAGTGAAAATTGTGTTTGGTAAGCTTAGTACCAGAGTATCGTCTTTTTTTGAAGTTTGATATTAAGGGGTCGTTTGGATACCTGAAAATATATTGTCTGTAAAATATATTACTAGCGTAATACAATACTGCGTGATATATTATCTACAAATAGATTGTTACTATTTGGGTAGTATTTAGATGCAACCTATAAAATACATTGTTACTGTTTGGCTATGTTTGGAAAAAATATAGAAAATACATTATCAACATTTTACCAATACTCGACTATAAACTAACATTTCTTTCTTTTTTGTAATAAAATTCCATTCAAATGCGGAATTAAAGTCATCATCACACCATTCCAAAAAAATTTTCTAATAATAATATTATCACCATTCTAGAGAGAGAGAGAGAAATAAATATATTAATAATCAAAATTCCAAAGATAGAGAAAGTGCAAAGTATTGATATTAATCGTTACCATTTTAAAAAGAGAATGAGAGCGTGAATTAAAATTGTCATTGTTCCAACAAGATTTACTAATGTTATCATCGATATAGAAACTGATAGAGACGTTCATCATCATCCACTAAAAGGGAGAGAGATAATATATGTGTGTGTGTGTGTGTGTTAGAGAGTAAGTATAGCAATTCAACCTAAGTCCAAAAACCAACTCGGTCAAATAAAGAGAGAGAGAGAGATGGCATATATCAGGATTCAGAAAAAGAGCTCCAAAAATTCAAGAGAGAGATTCCCAAATGATGAAAAGTGGGTTTCTAATATAATAAAAAGTCCAAGGAACAACCATCTACAAGGTCACCATGGAGTATGAATAGTTGTCTGATAATTTCAACAGCATGTATCATATTATGTTTAGTGACACATAAATTATGCTGCCAATAAGCTATCTATACTTTGTAAGATTACAGTTCACCTTGATTAATAAAAGAATGCACCAAAATTCATATAAGATATAATCTAAACTCCAAATAAAATTCCTAAATTGTAGATAGAGAGAGAGAGAGAGAGAGAGAGAGAGAGAGA